GAGCACAGCACCCCCAGGAACCCGGCCTTCGGCGCAGGGAGGCGAAGTCCCCGCTGCAAGGTCCGGGGATCAGCAACCGAGGACGCCCGGGTCCCGGAGCCAACAGGTGCGGGGCGTGGGAGACCCCCAGACCCAGGGTGGGGGTTCCAAACAACTCTCGGAAGGAGCCAGAGTCTGGGGACGGGGAATAGCCTGGGGCTGGGAAGCTGAGACCCCAGCAGGCTTCCTCCTGCAAAACCCCTAAAGCGCTGCCCCCCTTCGCCCCACCCTGCAGCCCCTCACAGCCCCCGAGGTGCAGGGAGGTCCTGCTCAGGGAGTGGGTCCGCCGATGTTCGGTGGGGATATAAAGGAGCTCCCTCCCCCTCTCCCAGGGGTCTCCAGGGCCCCGCAACCTCCCTCACAAGTCCGGGGTCCTCCCTGCTCAGCCTCGGAGAAGGAGGGTCTGAGCCAGAGAGGAGGGGCGGGGAGCGAGGCCGGATTTATGAATGGAGGGAGCGTCCTGCGCGCCGGCCCCCAGCGACCCCTAGCGGCCGCCGGGGCGCATAGCGGCCTCGGGGATTCAAGAGGGGCTCTCTCCCCACTTCCAGAGAGGTCTCCAGCTCCCCCTGCACCCCTGCTCCACCGTGTGTGTGTGTGTGTGTGTGTGTGTGTGTGTGTGTGTGTGTGTGTCCACACGGGAGGGCCTGGCAGGTGTAGTGGGCGGGGCCTGGGTCTCTAAAGCCTCCCTTGACCTTTTATTTTTCCAACCAAAAATTCAGGCCTGTGAACTGTTCAGGGGAGAATACTTGCAACCGGATGGCTTCGTCTCTCAAATCTGTGGTTTGGTGGATTCAGACCTGGCATAGTAGCTTTGTGACCTTGAGCGAGGGGCTCAACCTCTCTGAGCTTCTACCTCCTCCTCATCTAAGCAGGGCTCTCTAATAATGGGGAAGCCGTTCCGCGCCTGTTTCTGGGTAAAGCACTGGGCATGCTTTAGAGCTCATTGCTCCCACTGCAGTCCCGTGAGGTAGGTGTGGTCATTACTCCACTGAATAGATGGGGAAACCGAGGCTGGATGGAGCCAGGTCTGTCCCTCTCCACTATACCCCACAGCACAGAACTTAGAGAATTAAGAGGGAGTTTATATGCAGATTGCCTGGCACATTCCCTAATGTTTCCTTTCTTCCTCGCTCCCTCCCTTCCTTCAGATCTGGGGCTGGGACCCCAAAAGACCTGGGTGCAGGGCTCCGGGTTCCCTGAGGGAAGTGGGCTGAGGCCTGTGGAGACCATGATGGACCTCGGCCGCAGCGGCTTCTGAGCTCATGGAGCCCTCGGCCACCCCGGGGGCCCAGTTGGGGGTCCCCACTGGCAGCAGGGAACCGTCCCCGGTGCCTCCTGACTATGAAGATGAGTTTCTCAGCTATTTGTGGCGCGATTACCTGTTCCCGAAGCAGTACGAGTGGGTGCTCATCGCCGCCTACGTGGCCGTGTTCCTCGTGGCCCTGGTGGGCAACACGCTGGGTAGGTCCATGCGTCCCTGTGGTGCTGCGGGATTCCCCTGGGGACTGGCAGGAGTCCTGGGCCCGGCTCCTCTCCTCTTCACCCCAGCCTCTGCCTGTGCGGGGTAGTGTGTGTGTGTGTGGGGTGGGGGCCTCGCTGATGGGCTGCGAGCTGGGGTGGGCATGGCTCTGCCTCCCGCCGCCCTCATTCCGCCCACCCCGCAGTCTGTCTGGCCGTGTGGCGCAACCACCACATGAGGACCGTCACCAACTACTTCATCGTCAACCTGTCCCTGGCGGACGTGCTGGTGACGGCCATCTGCCTGCCAGCCAGCCTGCTGGTGGACATCACCGAGTCCTGGCTCTTCGGCCATGCCCTCTGCAAGGTCATCCCTTACCTACAGGTGAGCTCTGCCCGGTGACCCTCATCACCCCGTCACACCAAGTACAGAAACCACCGCCTTCCTGAAGTCTCAGGGACCCTCAGACTTGCCTTTCAGACGGGACACGGTCGCTCAGCACATGGGTGGTGTCATTCTCTACTGTCAGCAAGAGCAGGCTATCAGCCCGACACTGGAGGACACAGCCCCAGCCCCACATACTCCTACAAAGACCCCCACACACAGCCCCAGCCCCACATACTCCTACAGAGACCCTCACACACAGCCCCAGCCCCACATACTCCTACAGAGACCCTCACACACAGCCCCAGCCCCACATACTCCTACAGAGACCCTCACACACAGCCCCAGCCCCACATACTCCTACAGAGACCCTCACACACAGCCCCAGCCCCACATACTCCTACAGAGACCCTCACACACAGCCCCAGCCCCACATACTCCTACAGAGACCCTCACACACAGCCCCAGCCCCACATACTCCTACAGAGACCCTCACACACAGCCCCAGCCCCACATATCTCCTACAAAGACCCCCCACACAGCCCCAGCCCCACATACTCCTACAAAGACCCTCACACACAGCCCCAGCCCCACATACTCCTACAGAGACCCCCACACACAGCCCCAGCCCCACATACTCCTACAGAGACCCCCACACACAGCCCCAGCCCCACATTCTCCTACAGAGACCCTCACACACACACATACTCCCACAGAGACCCCCACACACAGCCCCAGCCCCACATACTCCTACAGAGACCCCCACACCCCCCACACAGGCACAGACACGGACAGCCATGTGCGGACACATGCAGGGACCACCTACTCTGTGCCAAGTCTCGAGCTAGACATTTTCTATCCGTGATTGCGTTTCTTTCCATGAGAATCCTGCCAGGCGAGTGGTATATTCCCACTTCGCAGGTGAGGCTCAGAGAGGGTGCGTGACTTGCCCAAATCTCACAAGCCAGTGAGTGGTGGAGCCAGGAGGTGCCCTGCACCTGGGCTGTGAGCCCCTCACCCACTCCCCATCTCTGGGGGGCCCCCGAGAGGACTGATAGGGTGTCTCCACGGGGCAGGCCGTGTCTGTGTCGGTGGCAGTGCTAACCCTCAGCTTCATCGCCCTGGACCGCTGGTATGCCATCTGCCACCCCCTGTTGTTCAAGAGCACGGCCCGGCGTGCCCGTGGCTCCATCCTGGGCATCTGGGCTGTGTCGCTGGCTGTCATGGTGCCCCAGGCTGCCGTCATGGAATGCAGCAGTGTGCTGCCCGAGCTCGCCAACCGCACCCGGCTCTTCTCTGTCTGCGATGAACGCTGGGCAGGTAACGGGGGTAGCCTTGGGCAGGCACTCCTGAAGGGGGCACCTCTGGGGCACATCCCCTGGGGCAGGCAGCTGCCAGGGCACCCGGGGGGGGGTCTCTGAGAGGACACTTTAGAGCAGACATGTACCGAGGATACCTTCAGGGTGGGTACCTCCTCTGTAAAGACATCTGCTAGGGGACCCTCAGGATGGACACCCTCAGGCTGGGCAACTCCAGGGTCCCTCTGCCAAGGTGCCCGTGTGGGGCCTAGCTGCTTGCTTTGGCCGTCGCCGCGGTCAGGTGGCATTGCTACGCAGGGCAGGCTGGGGCCCAATCTTTGCATCTCTTGGCCCCTGCAGATGACCTCTATGCCAAGATCTACCACAGTTGCTTCTTCATTGTCACCTACCTGGCCCCGCTGGGCCTCATGGCCATGGCGTATTTCCAGATCTTCCGCAAGCTCTGGGGTCGCCAGGTGAGGCCCACTCTGGTGTCACTGCCTGGGCTGGGAGGGGATAGGGCACTGGTCTAAGGGAATAGACAGTCCTCTGCCTTCAGAACATGCCATCCTGGCTGCAACCAGAGAGAGGAAAGGCCCAGGGACTTTTAAACGCAAGGCTGAAGTGGTAGAGCCGACCCTGGAGCTGAACAGGAATGAACACCTTCCAGTATCAGGAGCTGCCCTTGACTGTCCCATGCACTTCCAGCCAGCCTTGGATCCTCTTAACCACCATATACTACCCCCAACTTAATAGGAGAAAACAGACTCAGAGGCAAAGCAGCTTCCCAAACCCCTCAGCCAGGGAGGGGAAGGCCAGGCACTCAGTCCCCGATCGGTGGGGTCCAGTGCTCAGTTCAACGCCACAACAGCAGCACCTCCGTGTCGCTGGCCAAATCATGCACTTTGCTCACAATGTCTTCACAACCGTCTAACCAAAGCAGCAATATTACCACTTTACAGACGCTGAGTAGTGGCAGCCAGCTTGTCACAGCCAATGAGTGGCAGGGACTTTCTGGGCCCAGGGCCTGCCTTCTTTCCTCTATTACAAACTGACCCACAGCAGGTTTTTTGGGGGGAGGGGGTTTGG